TCTCTCTCTCTCTCTGTCTGTATGTGAGTGTGTATGTGTGTGTGTTTGTGTGAGTGTGTCTCTGCCTCTCCCTCTCTCTCTTTCTCTCTCTCTCCCTCTCTCTCTCTCTCTCTCTCTCTCTTTCTTTCTCTCTTTCTTTATGTCTCTCTCTCTTTCTCTCTTTATGTGTATCTCTCTTTCTTTCTCTTTGTCTTTCTCTCTCTATCTCTCCCTGTCTCTCTCTGTGTCTCTCTTTCTCTCTCTCTCTCTCTCTCTCTCTCTCTCTCTCTCTCTCTCTCTCTCTCTCTCTCTCTCTCTCTGACAAAGACACTGTAACAAAGGTATGTTGGTTCTAAAACTGAAGGATAACCGACCTTTCTCAAAAGCCTGGCTGATACGTTTCTATTTCTCCATTCAACCATTGTCGCTACATATTATGTCAGGCAGCGTGGCGAAATCAGGCGCTCGTCGAAATAACAAAAGTGAAGAAACAGGCATTTTTCCACCAGTGTACAAATTCTTATCAAATTTTTATTATTTGGCTTACCCTCTTTTTATGCCCATAAAAAAACACTTTTCCGTGTGAATTTTACTGGAAAAACATTGCTTAAAGGTGCAAAAGATTCCATTTTTTAGTTTTCAAAGACTCTTTATCTATTGGAGTTACCAAAATTTTGGAGGTTATTTTCTCGGTAATGTGACCACTGAAACCAGGTGAACTTAGTTCATTCAATCGCAAATATTTTGAATTCCATTCAAAATAAATGGATATTTATTTAATATTAAGCAAGGGAAATAAATCAGCTTTCATATGATACCAATAACTCCACATGCCCAAAGATTGACTAGCGCCTGATTCCGCCGCATCGTGGCACATAATATGAATAGCAAGGTTTAATGGAATAGCCATGGTCTTTGCTTATTGATTAAGATTTAAGTACAGTTCTTAAAAAATGGGTTTGTTGTTGTTGTTGTTGTTGTTTAATGTTGTTTGTTGTTGTTTCTTGCTGCTGTTGACGATGCTGTTTTGCAGCTGTTGTTGTTGCTGTTCTTTGTTGTTGTTGTGGTGGTGGTGGTGGTGTTTTTGTTATAGTTTTTATTTGGTTGTTTTTTTGTGCTTATATGACATTATACAGTTGCGAGCGGCCTAAAACATTTACCAAAACAAACTATTCTTACACAATGTCTGTGAGAAGTATAGGTTATGTCTGTTTTTGTGAGTGTTTTACGGCGCTCGCAACTGCGTAAGGTCATATGAGCGCAAGGGACACATTAAACTTTTCCAGTTGGTAGGAAATTTTGAATTTTGCCCGGGTCGCGGCCGAAGCCTACTCTTATCGATTTTAGAACTCCAAGGGATCTTTAACGTGCGCAACTTGCACAGGGGCCCTCTGAGATTTTTTGCCCTTGTCCGAGAAGACTAGGTGTAGATCTTTCCTACCAGAAGATCAAGGGTGTGGCTCAAAAGACAGCAGTAAGAAGAAGCGAAGGAGTAGCAGTAGAAAGGCTGCAGAAAAAATCAGGAATCCAGAGAGGGGCAAAGGAGATGAGGGAGTGGGGGCAGAAAGAGGAGACGAAAGCAGACGACAAAAAATTGCTAGAGAGCAGGAAAGGAGGTGAAAGGAGACA